CCCACTCTGTTCCTCTCCCCCTCCAACTCTCTCTCTCAGCTAAATAAACTAAAAAAAAAAAAACTGCCCCAAAGACATTCCCCCTAGTCCTCACATTACTCGATATATAGGCATTATTTGATGATGTGGGTTCTTTTCTCTTCCTTGAATCATTTTATTCCCAGAGCTTCCACTCTTTTCTTGCCAGTCTCTCCTTCTCAGATTCCTTTGTTTTTTTCTTAATCATCTTGGCCTCGAAATATTTCCTTAATCTTCTTGACCTCCAGGTCTCCATCCTCAGAGCACTTCTCTTCAGTGTTCGCACTAACTACATAGTGATCTCATCAAGCCTCATAGCTGTAAGTACCATCTATGTCTTTGTGACTCCCACATGTATTTCTCCAGCTTGGACCTCTCACCTGAATCCCAAGGCCATATACCCAGCTCCACATGAATTCCACATAAGCATTTTCAAACTTACTTTCCCCAACTTAACTCTTCATCCCCACCCCACTGCCCCACACCAACTTGCTTCCTCTCCAGGACTCTTCTTTTGAGTAAATGGTCCCTCCATCCATCCACTTGCTCAAGCCCAAAACCTTGAAATCATTCTTGAGTCCCCTCTTTCCATCGTACTCCATATCCAATCCCTCAACAAGCCCATTTGGTTCTACCTTCATACTGTACCCCATATTCAACCATGTTGTACTATAACTATGGCAGGCCAAGCCAAAATGGATTCTCCCTGGGATAATTGCAAGAGTCTCCAACTTGTCTCCTGGCTTCCATCTTGCCCTCCTGTAGTCTGTTTTCCACAGAGCAGCCAGAGGAACCCTTTTAAAATTCTCTGCTCAAAACCATCACCCTTAGGATAAATTCTAAGACCCTTGCCATGGCCTGCAAGGCCTGGCATAAAGCTGACCCTTGACTTCTCTGCCCCTTTTCTCCTTCAACTTTCTGCCCCAGACACACCCACCTTGTCAGGGCCTTTGCCTGTAGTTTCCCCCACTACCCAAATTGTTCTTCTCCAAAGTAGCTCATGCCCTCACTTCTCATGTGTCTCTGCTCCAATGTGACCGGTCAGAGAAGCCTTTCTTGTCACTTTCTAAAGCCTGGCTCCACTTTTATTTCCTTCATGTCTCTTATCCTTACCCAAATTTATATTATATACATCTTTTATTATTTATTTACTTTCTGTCTCCACCCACTAGACCTTAAAACCTTAAGGGGAAGGATTTTACTTTTTTCCACTGCTATAACCCCAAAGCCAAGGCCAATGCCTGGCTCATAGTAGTAACACAATAAATATTTATTAAATGAATTATTGAATGAATGAATGATCTCTTACTCATCAGATCACCAGGATGATTACATGAATTAAAATATATAGAGCAGTTTCTAGCACATGGCAAAGTACTTGAGAATATATGTTCCTTCTCCCATTATTATTATTAAAAAAATGGAGTTGGGTTGTGCCAGTGTTGTCTGGAAGATAATCATTTTGTGACATCTGCTATTATCGGGGTTTGCTTCTATTTCTGTATTTTATATGTTCCCATCTGGCCTCTACTCTTTGGGGAATAATTAGAGAAAGTGTGTTCCTTTGAGCTCACTGCTCAGACTTTGTTTAACTTGTAGGCCTTTCTTTTAAGCTACCCACTTGAATAAGTAATGTTACATTGGCTTCCAAGGCAAATTCTCCAACTCTGTAGGCAGGCAGGCTCTGAAAGTCTGACACAGTTTCCAGCCACATCCCACAGGACAAGGAAAATGCTACAGGTGTCTTGGCATCATGCTAAAACTTCAAAGGAACACAGAATACCATATATGGAAGTTTCTGAAGGCAGAAATAAAGCACACGAGCACAGGAGGAAGACCAGACTGGACGTACGTAGGCAGCACCCCATGACCTTCCCTGGCCTAGCAACAGAATCCACAGAGTCTGTCAGAGAAGCCTTAAAGGGAAGTCTGCCCTTTGATAAACAGCTATGCTCCTTTATTATTTTTAAGAAATTTGAAATATATAAAATAAGGGAAATAGCTCCCCAAAAAGCAGATTTGCTTTCTCACTGCACATCCTTTCCCACTCTCACTGTCTGCCAAAAGTAGTTCTGTCCCCCCGAGGGTGAAGGGTAAGCTCTCCTCTATTCCCTCTCCATCACCTGTCCATCACTGCCAATGTGAAGAATGGGGGCTTAAAGGTAAATTTAATTCTGAACCCTGGGCTTGACTCATGTGAGCTGTGTGACCTTGGGCAAGTCCCTTAACCTCCCTCAGCCATTTCTACAGGAGTAAAACAACAGTGTCTTCACTGGATGGTTGGGAAGATGAAGAAGGATCACCTGGGGATGCACCTGCTATTATTACAATTAGGATAGGTGCTTTTGTTCTGCTTCTGAGACAAGAGTAGCCAATTTATTGAACCATCTGAACTCCATGACAGGATTTTATTTTTCTATATGATGATATTTGCTCTGATAAAGCACCCTCGCCCTGGGTTGCCAAGCCCACAACAAAATCTTCACAGATTCCTTAACTTCCTGGTCACTTTATTAAAATCTGTCCACAATAAAACTCTAGTCTTATCTATTTAAACCCCCCTTCCTCCAGCACCAGCCCAGGCAATAACTGGAAGGATGCGAAGTAAGGAAGGTCTGTTCTTCTCCTTTATGGCTTTCTGGCCCTCACCCTGGTGTGGCTCTGTCTCAGTGAGTGCTGTCTCATGCCCGCTCTCACTTAGCTTTGCTGGAGATGGAGGGTCCTCTTCACAATAAATGCAGGGCTCCCAAGGACGCATGACCCTGCTCCCCTATATCAGTCAGGATAGGCTAGGTTATGGTACAGTAATGAACAACACCAAAATAACTCACCAGCACCTCCTTCTCTTCCTTCTTTGGTGGCTATAGCGCCTCTGGTGGGTTTGGGCCATAGGGCAAAGGGAAAGAGACAGTGTTCTTGGCCAACCCACTGTTTCTGACCTTTAAATATAGGGTGTTGTTGGTCTCTGGCTAATGATGCCTCATTGCTGGCTAAGTGGAGCTCCTCTAGAGGGCCCCAACAAGGCCTCCTCCCCAGATGGCTCCCTGAAGTGGGGAGCTGGCTTCACACAGCCACAGCCAACCTCACAGGGGGAAAGAAGTAAAATCCAGCACATGGCAGGAAGGTGGGGAGAAGCGATGTATTGCCGTGTACACACAATAGATACCCAACTTAATGGTTTCAAACACCAGTCATCTCTTTAATTGATGGTTCTGTGGGCTGACGATTTGGATGGGACTCAGCTCGACAGTTCTGGTCTCTTCTAGACCCTTATATTCCCTACAGGGAAACAGGGTAGCCCTGCTTCAGTGGTCTTACTCATGTGATGGGAGGTGACTGGACTGTGTGTCTCTCATCATCCTTCAGGCTACATTGGGTTGGTTCATAAGGCAGTTTGGCAGGTTTACAAGAGGGAGGACAAAGCATGCAAGGCATCTTGAGGTCTGGGCTTGGAACTGGCTTAAAATTTCTTCTGGCACCTTTTACTGGTCAAGTTCCCCAAACCAACAAGATCCAAGGAGTGTGGAAACATGCTACCTTTGATGGGTGGGGCTGCAAAGTTACATTGCAGAGGTGAATGGGGAAGGGAAATGGAGGAAAATTATAGCATTTTTGCAGTCTACCCCAAGCACAAAAGACCACATCTTCCTGGTCTTCTGAGGAAGAGGTTGGAGGGCTGATGCAGAGGTGACGTGGCTCGGCAAGGCCAGATCATCTCATCTTATGTGTCCTGGAGAGGTGTTTGACTACACTTGATGGGGGCCTTTATTAGACTCGTGTGCTTAGCTCCTTTTTGTCTGCAACTTTGGGTCAAAGACATTCCAGACAACAGGCAGAGTCCCCATGGATAGTCAATGACAGAAGGAAACTACCTTGAAGGTAAAGTGACCTGTTGCAGGTCATGCAGCTACTAAGTGCTTTATTGCTTTATCTGGGCAAAGGGAGAAGTATGCACAAAAGGGGTGGCAGTGAGAAAGCATAGTAAATACCACAGACTTTCAAAGGGCCACTGTAGCTGGCGTGGACAGAGCAAGGTACACGTTGCTACAAGCTGTCATGGGGACCCAGAAGCTGCCAGTCCATGGAGCCCATGACAAGGAGCTTTTCTTTAGATTTAAGAACAAAGGGAACCTTGTGAAGGATTTAAACACCAGGCTCACATGCTCACATCTGTATTTCCAAAAGATCCTGCTAGCTCCAGTAAGGAAGGCTGGATTGGTGGTGCAGACCGCACCAAACCCAGACCTTTCAGTAATTAGTTCTCCAAACCCAGGTTTTAATTCTTCATAAGTTCCAAGGCAAAGGAGAAATGATCCAGTTTGCCATGGCTGAAAACAAGCAGCAAGGCAGGGAGAAGAGCAGAGAAAGTCAAACAAGTAATCCCACGCCGTGTCCTCCGCAAACACACACACATCCACATATATTACTCATCCATATGCTTCAGACCCAAGCAGGCTTGAGAGTTTCTGGTTCCTGTTCTGTGGATAGTTCACCCAGATGGATTCGAGGCAGTGGCCTCTTCTGCTTTGCCATGTATAGAGACAAGTAGCTGCTAAGTGACCATCAGAGAGAAAGACTGGCAGAGGCTCTGGCATGGCAGACACAGCCATTGAGCCCAGAAGGTCATTCACCTAATATTTCCAATGATTCCGATTCAGAAGGCAAATGGTGTCAAAAGTTCAGTGTCATGGGACACTTTGACAGCACATTGGTAGGACCTCAAGGAGGCGGGGAGGAGGAGCAGGGGCAGAAGCAAAGGCACCTTGGGGCCTCTCTGGGCAGTCTGGCTCAGCACGGGATGGAGAAGGGACTGCCACATACCCTTTAGGCACTGACCTTGCCCACCCACACAGGGACATTTGTGAGCCTCCTTGGGGCGGAGGGTGTCAGCTGGAACAGTGCAGTGCCTGGAGCAGACCTCACCCCCCAAGCATGAGTCTGCATGATCGATCGTAAGAGAGTGTTCTGTCATTGCATTGCAGCTCCAGAAACTAAAACGATCACTTTCTTTCAAGACCAAGAGTTTACGGAGCAAAAGCGCTGACAACTTCTTCCAGCGAACCAACAGCGACGTGAAGCTGCAGGGGGACATGCTGGCTGAGGTCAGCCCCAGCTCCAGCCCACTCCCCGCTTCTGGAAGCCTGACATCTACACCCACCAGGACCGGCCTGTACCCAGGGGCTGGCAGCAAGGCCCATGCCTTTCAGGAGCATATCTTCAAGAAGCCCACCTTCTGTGATGTCTGCAACCACATGATCGTGGGTAAGGCTTCCCCCACCCCTACCTCCAGGTCCCCGCACCCCCAGGAAGGACAAGTGAGAGTGGTGTAGCCCGAGTCCAGGCCCCAGGACAGATTCTGAGCCTCAGAGATGTACATGAGAGCAGGTTGTTCGGGAATGTTCTGGAGAACAATCGTGCACAGGGAAGGGAAAGCAGGACTGGGCAGAGGGAGAAGTTGGATGGTGATACAGTTGCACCTTCAACTAATCCCCCAAGAGCCCTGGACAGTCATCTGCATTGAGGCTAGAGGTCTGGGCCTTTGTACCCCGGCATCACCTCTCACTGTGTATAGGCAGCCCCTGGGGAGAGGGCATAATCCTGGACATAGCAGCTCTTTCCAGCCAAGGGCAGTGGGCAGAGAGGGAATCAGTGGGAGGCAACCAAGACGCTGGGTAGGTGGGCACGGAACACTTCAGTACCGTGGGGGGACCTGAGTGACACGTCACAGCATCCACTACAGGGCGCATGGCGCTGTCTGTCTGGGGTAGCCTGCAGAGGGAGTCTGTGGCTGGGTGAACTATAGGGGAATGACCCGGACAGACAGGCGTGAGAGGGATGATTCTGGGGGAGGCACTGAACCGGGCAGGAAAGGTGATTGAGCCACCATTACAAGTCTGGACCTGGCACGGACTCACTCATGGTACCTCAGAGAAATGGGAGCAGCCTGAGAGTCTTAGGGGTTGTGCCCAGATGAAGAGAATGGTCCATAAAATGTCCCAGCTACAAGGAAAAAGTAGGCCATTCAGAGCCACCCGCACAGAACTTCCACAGTTCATACTCTCCTGCCTCTTCAGAGTGAGTTTAAACCAGTTGTTTCAAGAGCAGCAGTAAATCCTGGTAATTGACCAGTGGCCACAGAACACAGGCCTGTGTTTGCTCTCAGGGGGCGTTAGGATGTAAACCCCACCTCCACCCCTCCACCCCCCACCCCCGGTTAGGAGAAGTTTAAGGGTATCACGACTGGAAATGAGGCTGAAAAATGAAAAATGCAGGGCTGATCCAGATCTAGATGTGGACTGTCTTCCCGAGATGGTGCTGACCCTCCAGAAGTGTAGCCCATCGAATTCCTGGAGCGCCTGGAAGCACCCTGAGGCCTTCCCCACTTTGTGGCGCCCGCTTACAGCCCGGATGCCACAGTGTCCGGCTTGGCATGAATGCTTCAGGGAAGGACACTTTTAAGATCAAGCTGGGCCCAGGGCCCAGCAAGGCTCTGGGGAAAAGCCAGTATGCCCTCTAGTCTCCTCTACCCTGACACATACTTGACACACACCATCCAGCCCCACCGTTTCCCCTCCAGGACCAGCTTCCTGTAGCCTGGCATCTCTTCTGAGGCTGACTGTTGTCTCAGGCCAGATTCCCTAGAAGCAGAGCCTGAGAGGGGAGTTGGGTGCACGTGATGGGTTGAGGGGGCGCTCTCAGGAGAAGGGAGAGGGAGGAAGCGGATTGGGGCAGGGAAGTTGCTGAATACAAAAGTGGTCTCAGTGGGAGTCTTACTTCAGCCAGCTCTGGAGGAGCGCTGGCGCATGGGTTGCACAGCTGGTCCTTCCTTGAGGCCAGCCTTTCGTAGCCTACTCTCTGTGGGCCTCCCTCCTCCTCCCACGACGGAGGCCCTTTCAGAACCCCCTGGGCCAAGTGGCTCATGTTCTGTTGAAGGCAATTTTCTGGAGAAAAGGGTAGCTCTGAGTCATTAGCAGCCAGTACACATGCCTCTGGTGTATTAGTGGTTTTTTGCTACTGTAACTGGGTATCACAAACTTAATGGGTGAAAACAACACAGCTTCATTATCTTATACTTCTGGACGTTGAAAGTCCACAGTGGGTCTCACTGGGCTAAAATCAGAGCGTCAGGAGCTCCATTCCTTCCTGGAGGTTCTAAGGGAGAATATACGTTCTTGCCTTCTCCAGCTTCTACAGACGGCCCCCACCGTGGCTTGTGGCCCCTTCTGTGTTCAAAGTCGTAATGGCAGGTTGCATCTTTCTCACACCACCTTCTCTCTGGTCCTGACTCTCCCTCCTACACCCACCTGGATAATCTTTCCATCTCAAGGCCACCTGATTAGCAACCTTACTCCCTTCTGCAACCTCAGTTTCCCCTTGCTTTGTAACATAACGTGTTCTTTGGTTCCGGGGATTAAGATAAAGACACCTTTAGGGGGCCATCCCTCTGCCTGTGCGCACGCAGTAGGGGTATCTGGGCAGAGCATCGACCGTGTCCACCACAACAGTAGAAGAAAACTCTGATTGAAGATCACAGGACTGGCCTCTGTTGATTCCTTTCCATCCTGGCTTTGATGCCAATCATGTGATCGTGGCACTCTGATGGCTGTGTCATGTCACATGGTGAGAGGCATTTCATTCAGAGTGGGCAAAGAGGCACCTTTCTGTTCAGTGCACAGAGTGGGGACAGTGCTGACCCATGTTTTGCTTATGGCTGCTCCCATGACATAATTAGCCTTTCCCTTTCCAGATAAAACAGTGTAAGGGATTGAGGACAGTAGAAAGACCATGTGCATGGAATCAGGCTGGACTTGAACCCCATGCAGCTGTGTGACCAAGTGCCAGTGACTCACCTTCTCTGAGCCTGGGTCCTCATTTTATAGGGAGATGATAATACCACCCTCAGGGGTTTTGAATGGATCAGTGAACTGGCAGAGGGGAAGTACCAGGCATGAGTACTTGGTACAATGAGCCCATTGGAGTTGGTATTATCACCATCATTATTAGAGGAGAAAATAGTCATTACTCTCCTGAAGCAGAGAAATATATTCAGAGGATAAACCGAATTAGTTTTACAGAAAAAGAAATTAAACTTAATAGGCATAAATAATGGGAAAAAAAATAACATCCAGGTAAGAAGAAGTAATTAGTCCCTCATGTACATGGCAATGTTTTAGGTGCATGTCAAGGATTGTCTATAATTCTGCATTTCATATTTTATGAGGGACCTGGAGAAGCAGGTATGTGTCTGGAAGAGAGTGATCAGAATGGTGAGTGGTGTGTCAAAATAAAAGAATGAGGAAACTCTGGGAGTTTGGCGTGGAAAAGATTTAGGATGTGCGGCTGTGTTTGAAAGTACCATGTTGGAAGAGTTAAGAGACTCATGCAATGTGCCTTTAGAGGGGAGGGTTGGGAACAAGGGGTAAAGTTAAAAGGCAAATTTCAGTGAGAATATAACCACTTAAGCCATGCACTTGACTGAATGAATGGCTTTCCTTGTGAGTAGTGCGTGGTTTAACTTGTGTCAGGCAGAGGTCATCTGAAGGTCTTTTCTTCCTTAATTGTCTGATAGTCTTTGAAATGTTTGTGCTTCCCAAAGAAGCCAACGTCTGTCATCACTGAACTGGGACGTATCAGTGGTTTCCAGTACAGCCAGGAAGGCGGGATCCTGTCGTTCCCTTCACCCCTGGCCAAGACCCAGTTAAGGGGTGGGATGTTCAAACGGGGAAGCAATGTTTGCCCATCTAGCGACCATAAACACAAGGACTGTCCTCATCTTTAGAAAACCGTATTCTATTCACATTCACTTTCTAGTCACGGTCATTCATGCTCTTCCTGTGACCAAGCCCCATTTCAGAGCAGTGTTTGTGTCACTCGTCGATTCCACAGTATTGCTGGGTAACGAGTGCTCTCGAGCCCCAGCACTTAGAGTAGCTTTCTTTGACTCTTACTCAGACTTCCTTGGATCAGCTGGGGTTGGGCTGCTATCACATGTTCTATTGCTCATCTCTTACCCTTTCTTTGGACAAGTGGGCTAGCCGGGGTGTGTTCTTCCCATGGCAAGGACAAGGGGAAACATACCGAGCTTTTAAGGTCTCCGATAGGAGGTGACACGCTATCCCATCTGGTGGCATTCCTCCAGAGTGTGGGTAGGCCCAGCCCATGACAAGGGGTGGAGAACTACACCTCCAGTAGCAGGGACTGCAGAGCCACCTGGCAAAAGACATGGGTACGGGAGGGGTGAAGTTGAGGTCAATCATCCAACCTACCGCAGTACTGAGGGGACCTCTGGATCATTGAAACTTTTTTGTTAGGTAGATGGCACCAAGTCTTGGGGCTGTCCCACCCTTCCACTCCACTTCTCCATCTGGAAGTGATGCCTTGACTCTGACTGTGAGCGTGGCGGGAAGAGGGTCTCATGTCCCGTGCTCAGGATATGGAGGCAGCTTGGCCTCCAACCTCGTTTTCCTGTCTGCCTAGCTGTCTTCCAAGTCTGCTGCGTCACTTTCAATTCCCTATAAATTCCCACCAGGCCTTTTCAAGGCAGTGCTATTCATAACCCTTAAATAGGTGATGATGTGTCTCTATTTTAAATCTCACTGTGACGAGTGTGAAAAGACAAAGGAACGTGTGTTTTTAAAATGAGTAACAGAAATGAGTTTGCCTCTGAGGAATGTCACAATCATTATCCTGGGGAGCGGGGGACTTAGAAACTTCTCAAGTACCAGCCACAATTTCGAAGGACTCCATTTTGAAAATCACAAAAAAGATGCGCCCTGTGCTAAAGAGAACCTTACTATATCTTCCCCCTTATTAGAATTAAATTTATACCCTAGCTGCCATTTTATCTTTAAAAAGACAGAGGGGGAAAAAAAAAAGAGTCAGCCAGGCACTCTGCTCTTTTCAAAGATGAAAGAGAAGGAAAGCAAGCAGACTCCTTCTAGGAAAGAGGAAGGAGAATTAGTGAAGAGCTCTATATGAGGTGGGAGAAAAGGGGAGAGGAGGTGAAGAGAGCAAGCAACGTGTGAAGCAGAGACTGGCAAATGTTCTAACTTCCCGAAAGGAGGCAGGGGTCATGCTGGTAGGTGATCCCAGAGCACAGTTGATCTGCCCTCCTTCCCTTTCCTTGCTCTTCAAACTTAGCCTCCTGTCTCCACAGGTATTACCTGCAGATTTGCTTGCTTCAAGCCCCAGCTCTTCTTCATATCCCAAGTTCTGGGGAAAGGCCACCTGCTGCTATCCCCTGAGAGTGACATTTTAGAAAA